TTTTTTACCCCAAGGTTACATTATTCTTATCGTAATTTTAACATAAAACTAAACAAGGAAAAAACACAAAATTTCTTTTTATTAAAAAATAAACAAAACTACGACCAAAAAAGAAAAGTAAACAAAGATTTTTTCTACTTTTTGGCTCTCTCACGTGCTCTGCACATGGTCACTAAACTTATCTTCTTCCTTGTTGTGTAAAAATGCTCGTGGTGTTTAGATCCAGAACCCAGATTGAGATTTTTTTTCTTTTTTTTCTTCAGATTGAGATCTTCTTCTTTACCAATCCATCATTCTTCACTCTCAAGCAGATCGGAGACAAGCTTACTCCAACAAAGACTTCGTTCCTTTGTATCTTTGGGTTCAAAGCTATCCGTAATTTGCTTATTAACCGCCGATTTTCATAAAACCACGGGTTCGGCGGTGAAAAACCGGTGTCCCGCGTTGTGTCTCCGATCAGGTCCAATTCGCCACGGTGAGCCACCGTTGCACGTTTTCTCGGCCGCCGAATCGCTAATCTATCGGATTCTCTGATTCTCAAGTTTCGATTTTTAACATTTCAGGTTGAACAAGTGTATAGGAACCAAAAGTTGGAAACTTTGATTGATCATCACTCTTAAATAGAAGCAAATGAGTGTTTAATCACAAGGAGGAAGAAGAAGATGCAGAGGGTTAGGGTTTCATCACAAAGAGCAGCTGTACACAAGCTTGGTGATTCTCACATGACATTATCTCCTAAATTTAGAGTAGCTACATCAATTCACTCGCCATTGTTTGATTATAGATCATCGGAATTAGAATTGTCTCTTACCGGAGAACCATTGATTCCTGGTTTACCAGATGATGTTGCACTTAACTGCCTTTTACGTGTTCCTGTCGAAACCCATTCTTCGAGTAGATCCGTTTGCAAGAGATGGCATCTCTTGTTTTCTACTAAAGAGACGTTTTTCGCTAGGCGTAAGGCGTTCGGGTTTAAAGAACCGTGGCTGTTTGTTGTAGGGTTTAGTAGATGCACAGGGAAGATACATTGGAAGGTTTTGGATTTGAGGAATCTCACTTGGCATGAGATACCGGCTATGCCTTGTAGAGACAAAGTGTGTCCTCACGGGTTTAGATCGGTTTCGATGCCTCGGGAAGGTACTATGTTTGTATGCGGTGGAATGGTTTCGGATTCTGATTGTCCTCTTGATGTTGTGTTGAAGTATGATATGGTGAGGAATCATTGGACCGTCACGAATAAAATGATAATCGCGAGGTCGTTTTTCGCTAGCGGTGTTATCGATGGGATGATATATGCAGCGGGAGGAAACGCGGCGGATTTATTTGAGCTTGATTCTGCGGAGGTTTTGAACCCTTTGGATGGGAATTGGCGGCCTGTTTCAAATATGATCACGCATATGTCGTCTTACGACGCAGCGGTTTTAAATGGGAAGCTGTTGGTAACAGAAGGATGGTTATGGCCGTTTTTTGTATCTCCGCGAGGTCAAGTTTATGATCCGAGGACGGATCAATGGGAATTAATGGCGATGGGGCTAAAGGAAGGATGGACCGGGACAAGTATCGTGGTTTACGATCGGTTATTTGTAGTGTCGGAATTAGAGAGAATGAAGATGAAGGTTTATGATTCGGTTACGGATTCATGGGAGACGATTAACGGACCGGAATTGCCTGAACAGATTTGTAGACCGTTTGCTGTTAACTGTTACGAGAACAGAGTATATGTGGTTGGTCAGAATCTTCATCTCGCGGTTGGGAGTATTTGGAGGTCGGAGAATAAGTTTGGAGTGAGATGGGAGGTGGTGGAGTCACCGGAGCGTTATGCAGATTTAACACCGTCGAATTCTCAAGTTCTCTTTGCTTAATCAAGGAAATTGATTAAAATATCAATCTGTTTGGTATGGATTTAAAATATTTGTGAAGCATATTGTATGTATAAGTTAAATTGTATTAGGAAACATCATGGTTATGTTTGTACTCTTGTATCATATTCATGTGTGTATAATATAATTTGAGTCCGAAAGTGTTAAATAATTTAGTAGTTGTGTTTTTATGAAATGGAAAGTATACATGGAATGGAATAATGTTCTAGATTTGTTTTGAGAAATTGCAATATATATATAGTATGCCATTTAATAAACATCAAGGAATTACTAACAAAACAAACTTAACTTTAGATACTTTGAAGTGTTATTTAAAATGCAATATATTTAAATAACAAAAACTGAAGGGTAGTGATTTGTGTTAGCGTTCTCACTATTTCATTATCTACAATGGTAATTATTCGTGTTATACGCGAAATAATATGATTAGCGATTAAAATTAATTTAGTTTTAATTAAAAAAAATCAACTATAGTTATTGGAAAAATTATTATATAGAATAAAAAAATCTATATTTATATATAAATTTTAAAATTATTCTATAAATAATATTTTTCTACCGGTGAAATAATTGAAAACAATAGATTTTTAATTTCTTAGTCAATATATATCATTTAATATTATAATTTTGAAAGATACAATTTATTACTCACATATACAAAATGAAAGATTGCAAATACAAATTGAATATTTGCAAATACAAATTGAATATTATAGGTTTATGGTAACTATAAGAGTATTAATATAGTTTTTAAAATACAATTTCAGATTTAGTTAATTTCATAAACCGTATATAAATTTTGCAATTATTTTGTATATAAATGTGTTCCACCCTTGAAATAATTGTAAACATCATATTTTTAATTTCTTAGTCAATATATATCACTTATTGATCAAATGTATTTATTTAATATCATAATCTTCAAAGAGACGATATATGAATCAAATATACAAAATAAAAGATTACAAATATAAATTGAATCTTATAGGTTTATGGTAATTATAAGAGTAATAACAATTTTTTTTAAAATAACAATTCAAATTCAATTAATTGGTCATAAAACGAAATTAAGAATTTAAAATTAATGCCTTTTTGTCGAAACAATTTTTTTTTGTTTAATTTGAATGGTAAGATCTAATATTACAATCTTTGAATAATTATTTTAGGCAAGTTTATAAATATTCTAATCTGTTTGGCAATTGAGATTATAGTATATTAGAAAAAGTTATTTGAAATTAAACGTGTTTGGTAATGAGT